CCTCTCGTGTCAGACGCCGTCGTTTCGCCACCAAGTCGGAACAGTGCCCCGCGGGGAAGCGTGCCGGAAGTCTCTTCGAGTGCTCGAGGCTCTCAACCTTCGATGCCGGAGAGATTCGATCTGCGCAGATGGTGGAGACGGAATACGGAAACCGCGTCGGATGCCGATTCGATGCCTTCCCTCGAAGATGTCAGCGACTCTTCGGATGAGGATTCGGATGTCGATACTGGATATATGTCGCCCGACGACCCGCCGGCTCATCAGGACAACTCTACGAACGAAGTTCGCGGGGCTGTTGATGAACCTGTGGGAGGCAGTGTGCGTGCAGCGGACACCGCGGTTCCCTCAACATCAACAGCGACCTTGACACCTGTTGCCCACGCTCGTGCCAGCACGAGCACTGAGATCCGGGACGGTGATCTTCCGCCACAGGATGCGGCTTCATCCAACATGCTTGCATTGGGCGATGTACTATCGACTGCGCCTCCAGATGAAGCGCCTGTGATCACTTCTCCCGTGGCCGGGCTTGCTGCGCCGCCCTCCTCGCCTTCTCCAGGAGCGTTGCCCGAACCTCCGTTCATGACGGACGGTCGAGGACGAGTAGTCTGGAGCAGAGCTGGTGCAAAGCGTGGCCCGCCAGATGCTGCCTCAACTGCCCCCATACTTGTACCACTGGACCGATCTGGACCATCGAACCAGTCATCCCCCAATCATCCGAGTACGGCACCATATAATTCGTGATGATGTAACACATTGTACAGTATTGTAGTCTACATTGTATTTGTAAGAACGTGAGGGATTACGAAGCCAAGAGACGGTGTGATACAGTAAGCTTGACACAATGATGGCGGGGAATCAGAGGATCCGAGTCCGATGCAATAACTCTATGAATAACGTCTAAGATACTTAGAATGTACCAGCGTTGGCCGTGGATTTGACGACGCGGGCTGCCATTTCATGTGGGAGACGAGAACTGAGAATCATGAGGTAGAATAAGAGTCCTCTTTTGGCGCTGCGCATGAAACGAAGATCCGAGCGGATTTGAATGGGTGGTGACATCTCAGCGCGAAAATACTGTTGAGTACCGTGAGCTCCCGACCCGACACGAGAGAAAACAGGCAAACTTACCGAATCCGGATCGAACTTGCAGAAGAGGTATGGCAGCCCCCTCTGATACGAAGGCGATACCCAGAAGCACCACATCGTGAACGCTGATCTGCCCGGGTTGGATCCCGATCCTCCATTGGCCCGGCGAACCTAGAGTGGGCCCGCTAGCTGTGGCCTCCTATAACGGAATAGATCGTGAGTTGAGCATGCCGAGGAGGTTGGTAGAGTACTTACGCCCATGAAGTTGTGGACAGAGCTAGCAACGAGCTGAGCCAATCGTGCGACTGTGACGCTAGCACGAGCCTGGCCCGCTCGCAAGAGGCGGACTTGCTTGTCACACGGATTGTACCCGGGCCACTATACCGGCTGTTAAGACAGCTGTTGTACATAGGATGGTTATGGCGACTCACAGAGAACTTGATCTTGATCGTGTGGGCTTGAGAACGTCCGAAGGTTCGGTTCGGAGGAAGCAGAGCGAGTATCTCATTGGCAGCGTCTACAGGCACGCCGACAGTGCGATTGGTCTGCGTGAACCAAACGGGAAGAACGTCCATCTTGTTCAAAGCAGCCTCCATACGAGCGGCATTGCCCTGGTAAGGAATGAAAGGTTCGCGGAAGGGAATGATAAGATGAGGTTGAGGTGCGATCACGTCCATAACAACCCAGCGGCGCCAGCGGTATGCCTCGGCAACGTCGTCGTCCCGACTCCACACGATGTCCGTCTCATGAAAGCCGGCTTCGTTGTATGCAAAGAAAAGGACAACATTGTGCGGAAGGCCATAGTGTGCGGCCTGAGGAGGAAGGAAACCGCGATGCATGTATGCAGCCTGAAGATAGGCGTCGAATGTGGGTAATGTATGTTGACCCGTAGCCGACTTCCATGAGCGATATGCAAGACGAATGACACGATCGACGACGACGTCCGGTGATCCAAGCGCTAGCGAGAGGACAGAGCCATGATGCACCTGGGTGAGCAAGGCGCGCGATGCCATGGAAGCGTGGCCACTGGAGTGAGGCATGTCGGAGGAGGATGATTGAATATTGGTCCCTATGTATGCGTATCCTTGCGATATATATCCTCTCACCGCCGGGTAGTCGGTATGAACCGAGTTCAGTGTAGAGCCCGAGCCGGCGTTTGGAAGTTCGTGCGCCAGATACGCGGTCACTGTCGTCCTGCCACCAAGGACTGTGAGCACTATACGGAAAGTTGGAACTGTCGTACGGGTAATTGAAATAGGAACGTACATGGCGCTTAAATCGGCGATGATAGGGAGGCCAAGTCTCTGAAGAGAACAAGGGGGGTTATGACACTCTGACGCGGTGCGGACCAAGGTTTTTGAACTCATAAGAAGCGTGCGCTTGACATCGCCACAGGCGGCGCCTTTGAAGAACCTCCTGGCGTACGCCGCGTTGCTAGCGGTGTCACATCGCAAAATAGAACATGCGTAACGCACGCGCAGATCTCCCTGGGAACGCTGGGTCGATGCAGCTCCAGCAAGCCAAGAACTCCTAATCTGATTCTAAGCTTTCGTCTGACGTTTTGAGACAATATGATGGTACGTACCGTATTCAAAATTTGGTATCCTTCCTTATGGAACACACGGCTAAGTGAACACTGCCTCACACGCGTTTGGTCGAGATGAACCGCCCTAGGACTCTACGTGATGCCTCGCGCTTGTCATGTACGGGCGACGGTCGTAGGGGCGTCGCCCATGTTCTCATGCTGTATAGCAGTGATGGTCGTCGCACGAGAAGAGCCATAGAATGCCATGCAATCGAATCGCCCCGATGTTCACATGTCCTACAGACGATGACATTCTAGACGCTTTCGAGAACAAGGCTTTAGCGCCGCCTTAGAATGTTCCCGCGAGCAAATGGTTTTGTCCTATCATTGATAAGTCTTGCACCCAGCCCCTGCCGCCCTGGTCGGCCGATGTCCCATTGAAACCTGTGGTGCGTGTTAGCAGATTGCGCAGCGGTCCTGCAATCTTCTTGTCGGCCTGACTTTGCATTCGGTCCGGCGATCTCGAGAATCTGCAAGTCAAAGTCTTTTCCGTCACGTGTGTCATTCGTCATAGGGAAGAAGAAATCCTATGGGCAATTTGGAGGATATTAGTGAGGCGTAATGAGAACGATGCAAACTCGATGTCTGAGTCGCTTCGGTGGCCCTAGAGAACGGGCTTTGATGGGCAACACGCCTACTCGTCGTTTTGTTCATCAAGAACCAGGACCAGCGTGCCACTGGCAGGTATGATTCATAGCATGTAGAGCCCCTTCTGTAAGAGCCGATGAAAGTCTCACGCTTGACGTTAGATTAACATTATCATCGAAGCATGTGGTATCAGGCGCGTGCCAGACGTGAGGGTAGACAGCAGGCTGTACATGCTGGCCATATCAGAGTGTTTGGCCCAGTTGACGGACGATCGGCGCATGCTCGATGACACGCCTGGCTTAACAGCTACAAGCCATGCATTCGCTGCGTGCCACCTTCCAACGTGCGGCCAAGAGTGACGGGTAACCGGTCCATTCCATGTCTGAGGCGCAGACCATAGCCCCGGTTCAGATATCCGCATACACGTGAGTCCCTAAATCCGATAAGCTTTGCTGAGCAAGCTGAGTCCAAATTATAGGAATATGGGAGTGACCATTTTCACGACTCGCCTGCGGCATTCATCGGGCTGAAGACCAAACACGTCGGAAAGCACAGATCGCGAATCATGCCACGCTGGGAACAATGCGCCTCAGGATAGTAGCCAGGTTTGCACAGTGGAGAGTGCACGAATAGATCGCATGGAACATAACACAGCACTGAGAGGTGCCGTGGACGTCGGAGACAAGACAACCGGCCGACAAATCGATCAAGCGGCACGTCGGCATTGGCCGCGGATATCGGCGATACCCGGGCTTTCGCGAACTCGAGTTTCGGCTCGTTCAACATTTCTTTGCAACAACGACAATGTACTGTGTACTTCAAAGTATCCTGACCGATCGTGTTCACTCAACCAATAGAAAGCATACGTGATGGAGGCGCGCGGGACCTGAGACGGGTATATGCATCTTGGTCTGAATGTGCCTCCGTGGCAATGCCGCTTCCCGCACAGCAAGCACTTTTCCAGTGTGCGCCTCATTCCATATGAACTGGCGCCGCCGTGACTTGCAAACCGCCACATCCGGTCCACAGCCGCAACTCATGGCTTGTGTGCGTCATACACGCTTAGATTGTCAAATTGCAGCAGTCTGACGGGCCATTGTCCAGCGTGCCATCAGGGCCGTCGCCTCATCATCTGTAGGGTTTGTTGGACGGGCTGCGCCCTGAGAAGGCACAGGGCTGGCCCGCCGTGCATGCTGCAGACGGTTGAAAGCTCACGGCGCTCACAGATTAGAATATGGGCGCCTGATCGTAAGCGTATATGGGTGCCGGAGCAGAGCATATGCTCGTGTGAGATGCTGCCACTTATTGACCGACGATGTCGGATCGTGGTTTGCACTCACAGGATCATGCTCTATGTTCGATCTAGAGTAGTAGTAGTAGTAGTAGTAGTAGTAGTAGTTGACCACCAAGAGTTACGGGGTTGCGCTGATCATATCTGATACTTCACGCTTGTCTCTGCGACTCGCGAGGTCTTTCGGCGTTCACCGAGTCATCTGAAATGGAAGAATTACTCCACTGCAGGGTGGCAGTGTCCCTCCGAAGCTCCGAATGGCCGCCCGTCATAGTGTGTTGGCTAGTATGGCTTAAGCACTCTACCCTTTGTCCTCCATTCAGTAGATTGTACGGCATCCCATGCCAGTGTTAGTACAGGAGAGCGCGATCTGCGACTCGGACCTATGGCACAGGTTCATATCCTATTATGTTTGGCGCTATGACGGAAAGCCAGCGTCGCCATTGGCAGTCTACTGTAGCGAATCGGAGGCTGATGCCAATCGATTTGTTTCGTATCGCAGAGCGTATACAGACGTCCGTCTACGTTGGGTCAATGGGATCGTGGCCCACAGACTGGTGAGTGACGTGGTTTGACTTGGCCTTCGTGGCTTGACGACTAGTACGTTTTGCATGACTCCGTTGCAGCAATGGAGCCTGCGTCAAGCTCAGTTCAAGATCGCAGGTAACTTCGGCGCGTACCGTGTTGTGGCGCGCCATCTCCAGGCTAATCTGACCAAATTCCGAAGATCAACACTAGAATAGCTATAGGGAGTAAGTGTATCGAAGACGCGATCATCCTAGTCGTATACCGTAGCAACTGATCCGACCGAACAGCTCGCACAATTCATACACAGCGATATCACCCTTACATGGTACTTATCCATCAGCTGACGCAATACTGAAGACGCCATTCCGCTTGTACCTGGGGAAGTCATGCCATAGGGCATGATGTACTTCCGTGTGCGCTCCAAGCAGCGCGCACAGTATCGAGATAGTACCTTCCCCAACTCAAAGATGCGCTCGAACTTCTTCCTCTTGTCTAACTTCGACTGTCTCTCCAGAATAGTGGTGACTCATAAGTACTGTGGGGATGACGACAGAACAGTTATTTCCACTACACGCTCGCCTATGTAAGGATAGCCTCACCAGGTGTCCTCATTTGCCGCTGTTTCTTTCCGTGTTGCACCCTAACATCCATGGTTAACTTAGCTACATAGGTGATGATCAGGACTGTAACTCAGTCTCGTCCTCCTCAACAAGCTGTTACGCGAGAATTCAGTGGCCGTACACAGCGACCAAACAGCGAATACAGTGGCTGAGAATCCATGCGTGACATGCTCTCGGTATCGGCCAGATTGCGCCGTACACCACAGCCCGGCATAAGCGTTGACTGGAGGCGCGACGTTGATCTGTCTACGGCGTTTGCTCTGCCGGCGGCTGCATGGGGCCAGAGCTGTAGATGTAAGGATGTCAATGTATTGTATACCGATATCCTGCTCCTGCGGACTTTTGCCCGGAACGACGCAATGATACCGTGTTCGTGTACAGGACGTCCATGGATTAGGCGCCGAACGCGGAATTGCGCGCAGAGCGCCTGGATTATACCGTGATCGCGGGCGCCAATGGGCGGCATACCCGGATCGGTACGGCTGTTCTCAATTGTCGGCATTCATCTAAGATCCTAGTGGAATTTCAGCCTGACAGGAAGGTAGCACACGCTCGCTATACAAGTGCGCCGTGAGATGTTTCATCTGCTGCGACAGCGCGATTTCGGCCCTCCCGACGACGTGCGATGTGTGCCTGTCCACATCAGGATGCATGTGCTCGTGGGCAGAGTTCGTGCTGTAACCCAACGCCTGCCCAATGCACCTGAAATGGCTTTAGCCTTTGTCTTCCCCGAATGTAGTCGGATCCGGTTTCCTATCCCTCGTACAACAGATCAGTCCGCCTATCGGCCACCAGTACGTTTCGCTGATACCTTTTCCCGACAGTATCGACAGCTTCCATGGCTTGAACTTGCAGTACCGTCTTCTCGAAGATGAGGGAGCCTGTAAGTAAAGGACCATCATTCTGGGAAGCTGAGTGCACAGCCATTTGGCGCATCATTGTCCGGCACCGGCCGTGTATCAGTCCAGCGTAATGAGTACGTACAGGCGCACCGGGGAGCCATCTACGCCTGTTGGCGGCCGGGCGCGGACGAGTTGTGTTCACGAGCATCGGTCGTCGGTAGCAGGAAGACGAAGGCGAACATACCATCGCGAACTGCCGCACAATGGAAGTCACAACGTGCGACTACAGGGTCGTCCACGGTCCATCAGATGGTCTTGGAGGTCGCTGTACCACTGCAGCCGTTCTTGTGTCCTTCTTCGAGTCCGTATCTCGACCTGACACGGCCCGCTCAGTAATCGAGCTTGACGCAGCGGAAGTTCGTGCATGTACGAATCGCGGCAGGCGTCTACGAGATGGAGCGGGGATCAGACCTCGAGTCGCGTTGTGAATACAGTGGATTGCACAGAGGGAGAAATGCAAGCGTTGAGTTTGAATATGCCGTTGCGGTTAGTCCGCGACAGGTGTCGGCGTCTTGAACATCGCCATGAAAGCCGTATAGTCGCCGGTACATGCACATCCAGGTTGTTTGGGGATTTTGCGTAGTCGCGTCTTCCGATACCGCTTGGTTCATCGTGCCATTCAGCGGGCGGCGCCCACGACAATCTTCATTGATCCTCAGCACTCTGCTGAACGCTTTAGCCAAGTCTTTCCAGCGTTTCATATTATAAACAGAAAGCATCGCACAATCTTCCGGTCTCTACAGCTCCGTAAACCGTCAATCTTAGGATAGCTATACCCTGGCCTCCTCGGGCTTCGGACGTCGATCTTTGATGATCCGGCATAGCTCGGACATTAACAAGTCAACAGTGCCATCAATCAACCGCGTGCTGCGCAGGGTGGGGCAGAGTGGCACTGCCTTTGCCGTCTTGTGCGGATGGTACAGAGGTCTGTGCTCGACTACAGAGAACTGTGTCCTGCGAAGGAGATCTCGAAGGTTGGACATCGACTGACGGGGAGGGTCAGCGTTGACAGCGGGTCAAAAATGCGGATGAGAACTTACACGTTCATCGCGATGAACCTGCTCTATCATGCGGAATACCGCCTCCTGGAAAGCTCGGGATGCGTGTCAGCTTCGGGAAGGTGTTGAAGGGTTGTGGTTCTGTAGAACGTAGCATTGTCAGCATGCAAAGCTTGAATCAGCCGTAGGAGTAAGCAGAAGACAGGTAGGGTTTCCCGCATAGTGAGCCTTTCAAACGAGTGCTTGGCGACGGTGAGGAATACATAGACCCTTTGGGGTTCCGTCGGATGGCGTTGTAAGGAAACTCAGCTCACACGATGATCCTTGGTCAGGCGAAGGTACAGGTCGAGCAGCGGATGCGCATCTATGATGGGGCCGATCGCTGCGCTCGTCGAGGACATCGAGTCCATCAGTCCTCTTGGACGGATTGCCGTGGCCTCAAGAAGAAGCAGAAGCATAGAGGCGGGGATGGATCTGTATAGCTTTGACGAGCTATACTCCGTTGAGGAGACATCGCCATCGACATTCTCGACATTCGAACAGGGACGGGGGACGACTGACTTGATATCAGCACACAGACGTCGTAAGCCAAGTCGAGTGCCTTTTCGAGTCGCCTGTCACATATCGGAGGTCGCTAGGAACACATAGCTTCGTGTGCAGACGATGGATCGTCCCGGAATCCTGAAGCACAATCAGCATCCGAAGAAGCCAGTCGTAAGAGCGCAAGAGATGCAAACCTGTTGAAGTTGTTGGACGGGGTCTCATAGCATCCGCTATAGGCTCTACATGCCGAATGGCTGGCTCCATGGCGGCATCTGTCACTGTCGACAGAGAAGAGCTACATGAGCACGTATCGGTGCCGAGAGCGATGGCTTCGGACGCAATCTGTTTGCAGACAAGAGGGGTAGTTCTCTAGAACGTAGCCTTCTCAGCATGTGAAGCCGATGGACGGAAATGGCAGAAGGTGTACCAGGTAGAGCAACAAGTGTAGATCAGCTTAACGGGCGCATATGAAGGGGGGAACGATAGCGCATGGAACACATCAATGCTAGTACAACAGCTACGTGAGTGAAATGAAAAAGAGGCGGCGATTACTGGCAATTGAACGTACTGCAGCGTCAGGAGAGCGCGGCGCGCGAATGAGATAGCGTCTCGTCGAGAAACTATTGATTCGTAGTCAGCTGGCATGATTGGTATGGGTTGGAGTGCTGATGCCCACCTTCACCCCTTCCTCTAGACGAAACATGTACACAGCGGCTCTTGATTGGGAATGGCCCCACCGTCTCTCCTCGACCACTCGGCGCCCGACACATTCAACTAAGACGGCCGGCGCCCGCCTCACCCAGTCCAGTCGGCTCTAGATCACCGCTGTACTTCCATGAGTATCAGCCAGCTCATGTTCAGGGACTTGTACGAACAGTGCTGGCGTTGCTGGCCACAGATGGCCCAGTGGAGATGACCGGCCGAAGTTTACGATCAATTGCCTCTGAAGGGCTACACGAAGTTCGATTGTACGCGCGAGCGCGTTCTTCTATGCTCGCGAGCATGCAGACAAGCTAGGCCTACAGTATCCGTGTCATCGTGACACCCAGCGCGCCACCCGAACGCAAGCTGGACGCTCGAGCGTATCCGAACTTCGTGCACGTGCACTCCGGATCTTGCCGTGGACCTTGATGGCGGCTGGCTGATGGCCACGACCGCAGCGGCGCAGCCTACTTCCACAAGCCGATGACCAGGAGCTGGCCGCGGCCACGCCAATGCCGCAGATGTACATCCAGATTTGATGTCTGTAGGTGGCTCGGTCAGCCGCCAAAAGCCCACTAAGCTAGCAGCGAGGGAAACGCACGCTAATGTGCTCAGCGAGCACTCCAGCCTCTGCGAAGCCGCACACCAGCGCATTCAGAAGCAGCTCGAGGACCATGCTACTAGGGTGACGCAGCTGCACAACTCAAGGGGAGACATGGCGGTAGTGTACACCCATCTGAGAGCCCTGCAATAGTCGTCAGTGGCAGCTTTCGTGCGGATGAAGTTGGTTTTGAACGTACTTGTAGCTCTTTCCAGCGGACATCCGGCGCCCGACTCGGTCGCGCTCTTCACTGACAGGCCGTCTTCAGGCCATCAGCATTCCCGCGTAGCAGTCTGTTCATGTGAGGGCGCATATTGCAGGCTCTAAGATCTAAGCACTCATTGGGCTAGAAACCTATATCAACAGTGACGGGTTCAGCTGCTGAAGTCTAACAGACTGCTAAAGCAACGGCTCTTACACTTCGGAGACATGACGACAGGAGAGTACTTCGGCTAGTCCGAGAGCCGTACGAGCGCTTTCAGCAACAACTCGGTCCGAGTCATCGATGTGGTGTGGTAGTTGCACAAACTTGAAGCTCGAGACGACCTGAGTGTCTGTTCATTGGGCACTCTGCACTCATTATTAGCGGCTGCCTCCATGCGCATGACGTGGGTCTTGAACGTACTTGTAGTCGGTTGAGGAGCGAACCGACTCGATGAGGTGAACCGACGTAGGGTTTGAGAGACGCGCCGATGATATCACTCCTAGCGCATCTACTGGGGAAGTTCCCTCCGCTTCGTACGTAGCTGAGCGAACGGGAAAGAAGAGCTAGAGGTACAGGTTGGCAAGGGAGACGACCTGGTAAATTATGAGCGTTTGCGTGCCATGAGAGGTAAAGAGTGGACTCACTGGGGCAATTGCGAGCGGGGACGGCCACCTGTACTTCTGAGGCATGCGCGCTCATGCGCTCATGGTTCGCCACACCATGCTTGCTCGAGCGCGTGCTGTTGGTCTTCCCCCTTTGCACTGCACCAGGTCGTGCGCACGATGCGACAGTCAAGGGGCCATCCTGTGATTGCAGCACTGTGGGACTGTGGGCCACAGGCGTACGTTCGGCTGGAACTATCATCAGCAGTGGCGTAGTCAGCCGCTGAAGGGCCAAGTCGCCGATGTGACGCAGTCGTACAAGTTCAAGAGGATAGTGTATGTCCATTGTGTACCCTGCGCTCATCATTAGCGGCTGCTTTCATGCGGATAACGTGCGTATCAAACGTACCCATAGTCAGTTGACGAGCGGACCGATGGTGACAGGGAGGCTTGGACCGACGTGGAGCTCGTAAGACGCCTCGATGGCACTCTTGCAGCTCGCTGGCGCTTCTGCCGAGGAAGGTGCACACGCTGCGCACGTAGCTAAGCGGACAAGATGGAAGAGCTCGGTACCAGATGGCGAGGGAATCGACCTGTCAAGGGTTGTGAGCGTCTGTGCGCCATAGAGGTAAAGGATCGACACACAGGAGCAATTGTGTACGGGAACGGCCACTTCTGCGACACGCGAGCCCATATTCCGCCCCACCACGCTCGCGACAAGATTGAGCGAGCGAGGGCGACGTCGCATCTTGTTGAACGCGCGCCGTTCATCTTCCCATGGGCCCGCTGCACTGTGGCATTTTTCCCTAGCAGAGGAGATGGCGTTAGCAGGTAAGCCAGCACGACGCCGCTATTTATACAGCGACGGGTGCCTTGGTAACCAAGTACGAGGACACTAAGCGTTCACACTGTATTGTGTGGTGGCCCCGCGCTCATCTCGCGCATCGCGGCTTTTCGATGCGAAGCGCTGAGCTCGGAGCATTGGTCTGTCGAGCGTTGCCGAGTAACTTAGTCTTCGACTCATAGCGGGCTCGCGCGGGCTCAGGGAAGACGGGCGCCAATCGCCCCGCAGGCATCTGGGTTCGGCTCTCGGGCGCGCTGGGCGCTACGCTGGAGGTGATGCTTCTTGGGTTGGCTGCGAGTCCACCTGGACCAAGCCGCCACTTCATGACGTGCGCGCTAAGCCAAGTGATTCGTGCCAGTAGCCGCGTCTTAGCGTGCGAGACGATGCCCTCTGGCCTGGTCGTGCAGGTCGGAGGGTTGAATGCAGGTCGCAATGCTGTCGGGACTGCGCTCACTGCTGGCATAGTTCACTCTGCTCCATCGAGCGGTGTGCGTCGAAGTACGGCACGTCAGAGTATTCTAGCAATAGGACGTGGTATAGCAAGTTGGAAGATGAGCGTCTCAGGCAAGACGCGTGGGACGGGATCAAACCCTGACGCGTCCGCGCCTTGCTCGTCCTGCCCTCGACCTCTGCCTACATAATGTCCACCGACGCCTCGCCCGGCCCGCGCAAACGCCAACGATCAGCCTCCCTCGCCGCGTCCTCCTCCTCCTCCTCCAAACGCGCCCTCTCCGCCCAACCAGAATCCCAATCAGACATCGACGTGCCCATGGCGGACGCCTCCGAGCCACCTGCGGCCGAAAAGCTCGCGCGGATCGAGGAGCTCAAGCAAAGGCCGCTTAGGGAGGGAGAGACGTGGTTTCTCGTCGCGAAAGATTGGTATGGGCGCTGGGAACGCGCGATGCGGGGCGAGGAGAGTAAAGACGGCCCCGCGCCGCTCGAGTCTGAGATCGGACCCGTCGATAATGCCAGCCTGTTGGACCCCGTCACGGGCGATCTGAGCAAGAATGCGGGCGGCGAGGCGGAGTACGTGCCGCTCGAGGCCTGGGATCTGTTCGCCGACTGGTACGGCCACCTTCAGCCTTTATTACAATTGTCATAGATCTAACGGGCTATATCTTTCGATCGGCGCAGGTACGGCGAGCCGCAAACGAACCACGTCATCGGGCGCGACGTGATCCTGCGCGGCGAGCGCCAGGAGGCGTCGCTGGAGCTGTACCCGCCGCGGATCCGGCTGTTCAAAGTGACGGCCGAGCCCTTCCGCACGACGCCCAGCGGCTCCACCGAGTTCCACATCCCCGTCTCGTCCGTCCAGACCCTGCGCGACATACTCCCCGCCATGGCACAGGCCATCGATCCCGCGCTCACTGCCGCACAGCGCCAGTACAGAGCGTGGCGCGTCGACGCGTCGAACGTCGGCGGCGCGCACACGTGGCCTTCGGGCCGTGTCAAGTACGATCTGCGCCGGGGCGGCTTTGCGGGGGGCCCGAATGTGAAGCTGGTCGAGGCGGAGGAGATGGGCGAGGGCGTGGAGGACGGCGACGCGTTTGCGGTCGAGTTTATGGGCGACGCGGGGAAGTGGATCGTCGACCCTTCCGATATCTCGCCGTCGACTACGAATGCGACGACGGCTGCAACTACAACTACTACGGGTGCCGACGCGTTGACGCCGATGCCGATGTTCGGCTCTGGTGCCGGCCCTGGGTTCTTCGACAAGCTCGGCGGGAACACTGCGAACTCGAGTACGACGACGTCGACGAGCCAGTCGAAGGGCATCGGCAGCTTTTTCAAGTCGTCGAGTTCAACGCCCAAGAAGCCGATTGTGCCGGGGACGCTCGGGTTGGGGAATCTGTGAGCGCATTCCTTTCACTCGTGTATAGTAGATGCTGATGCGACGTAGCGGCAATACGTGCTTCATGAACTCCGCTCTACAATGCTTAGCCCACACCCAAGAGCTCGCGGCCTACTTCCTCGCCGACGTCCACCAAACCGAGCTCAACACCGATAACCCCCTCGGCATGGGCGGCGCCGTCGCCTCAGCTTTTGGGTCATTGCTCCACCGGATCTGGGACGCGACCAACACGACCTCCTCGTACTCCCCGCGAGACTTCAAGCAGGTCCTCGGGCGCTTTGCGCCGCAGTTCAGCGGGTACCAGCAGCACGATACCCAAGAGCTTGTTGCGTTCTTGCTCGATGGGCTGCACGAGGATCTGAATCGCGTGCTCAAGAAGCCGTATGTGGAGAAACCCGACTGGCATGGTGGTGGGGATAGGGAGATGATCAAGCTTGCGGAGGAGAGCTGGGAGGGGTATATGAAGCGGAACGATAGTGTTATCGTGGATCTGTTCCAGAATATGTACAGGAGCACGCTCGTGTGTCCCGAGTGCAACAAGGTGAGCTTCATCCATCTCTTGTTTTATATTGCTGTGAGAAGCTGATAAGTGTTGATGTGTAGGTGTCGATCACGTTCGACCCGTTCATGTACCTCACCCTCCCGCTGCCCGTGCACAAGACCTGGTCGCACACGATCAACTACGTCCCGCTCGACCCTTCAAAGCCGCACGTCAAGATCCCCGTCGAAATCTCGCGCGACGCCTCGTTCCGCGACGTCCGCGCGCTGCTCGGCAAGTGGATGGGCGCGCCCGCCGAAAACGTACGCCCCCCCCCTCCTCATAATAACATTACACGTACTGATACTGACTTGGAATGGTTGGGCACAGCTCATGACGATGGAAGTGTTCTCCCAGAAATTCTACAAGACGCTGCACGACAACGTGCTCGTGTCCGAGATGGCGGACAACGACGTCGTGCTGTGCTACGAGCTGCCCTGCTCGGCCCTGCCCATGTCCCCCGCGCGCACGCACCAGAAGAACAAGGCCCGCGCGGCGCGCTCAAAGTCGCGCGCGAGCTCGAAGGCGGGCACGCGCGCGAGTACGCCTGCGCCTGTTATCGGCCCGCAATTGCCTCCTAGCGGGCTGTTGGCGCCTCCGACGACGACGGGGGGTGAGAGGGGGAGGGACGCTGACGTGAAGAGTGAGGGCGAGGAGGACGAGGAGGAGGACGAGCCGTTTATATTGTCGGTCCTCATCACGAAGGCGGCGCATAACGCGTCGCAGTACGCGCGGCCGCAGAACATCTGCACGCCGCTTATCGTGGCGATCCCCCGCGCACAGGCGACGCGGGTGCGCGATATTGAGAGGGTGGTCGTGGATGCGCTCGCGCGGTGGACGACGATACCGGACGAGCTTTATTCGCGCGAGGAGGCGGCGGGCGGCGATGGGAAGGTGACGGGCGAGGGAGAAGGAGAGGGAGAGGAGGACGAAGACGCGGATATGGAGCCTGTTGTTCCCGTGCGCATCGATGTCGCGCCGCCGCCGACGGACGCTGTGACGGAGATCGCCGAGGACGGCGCTGTCACGGTGCGCGTGTCGACGCCCCCACCGCCGCCGCCGCCGGAGGAAGAAGGAGATATCGCGGACGCGAAGGCGATGGTGCTCGACGAGACCGAGGAGCTGCCTTCGTACGACGCGATCGACTCGACAAAGCCCGCACAAGACATCTCGCTCTCCGATCTCAGAACCGAGAAAGCCCCCGCGGAGTCGAATGAGAAGGCCGACGTGCCCGTGCGGCGGACGGGCGTCAAGCCGCACGTCTTCACGCTCGGCCTCGTGAGCCACGTCGCGGACTTCGGCGCGAACGCGTACGCGTCGCGCGCCGCGGACTCGTCGTGGGCGTCCCGCGAGGCGAGTCCCGGCCCCGGAGGTGTGCTGTTGCGGGAGGACGACCAGCTGGTCGTCGAGCTCGAGGAGAACATGGTCGATTTCCTCTTCGGGTCCGATACGGCCGCGAAGTGGGCGTCGTACGCGCATCCGGAGTACGTCGCGGCGCAGGCCGCGCGCGCGGGCGGCGGCGGGCGGAAGGTGATCACGCTGCAGGACTGTCTGGACGAGTTTACGAGGGAGGAGATGTTGGGGCAGGATGACTTGTGGTACTGCCCCGGGTGCAAGAAGCACCAGCAGGCGAGCAAGAAGTTCGATCTGTGGGGCGTGCCGGACGTGCTGGTCGTGCATCTGAAGCGGTTTAGCTCGAGCAGGACGTTGAGGGATAAGATTGACGAGTTGGTGGAGTTTCCGGTTGAGGGGCTGGATCTGACGGGGATGGCGATGGAGAGGGAGGTGAGGAGGCGGTTGGCGCGTGCGGAGGGTGGGGGCGCGGCGGAGGGGGACGGGGATGGAGAAAGACTGTTGTATGATCTGTTTGCGGTCGACGAGCATCTGGGCGGGCTTGGAGGGGGCCATTATCGCGCTTATGCGTTGAACCATGGGGATGGGAACTGGTACCATTTCGACGACTCGCATGTTTCGCTCGCGAGGGCGGAAGACGCCGTGGTACGTTCCTCTCGCCTTCTCCTTCCCTTCCCATCTCTCTTACTTCCATTCTGACACCCTCATCGCCATTTCATTTCACATCGTGTTGAAATGCTGTATGCTGATGCTGTCTATGTTATGAATGCACAGAACTCCAACGCGTACCTGCTCTTCTATCGCCGCAGGACGTCCCGCCCTCTAGGCGGCAAAACGCACGACAAGATCGCGGCCGCACAATCGCAATCGCAATCGCAGTCCGCTTCTCAGTCCGCGTCGACGTCTTCCCCCTCCGTTACCATCAGCACCGCCGCGCCGGAAGACGAAGACGACGCGGACGCGGACACATCCATCAACACGCAGCTCCCCACGCCTCCCTCGCGCGACACGCCCCCGCACAAGTCGATGTACCTCCCGCGCGACCGGCAGCGGTCGAGGGAGACCGGCGAGGAGTCGGGCAGCTCGAGTCCGCCGGCGCTGCAGAGCGCGAGTCCGGAGTGGAGCGCGGGCGACTTGCCTAGTCCGAGCTCGGTCGAGGCTGATATGGACGGGGAGCAGGACGAGAGGATTGATTTTGAGGAGGATGAGGAGGTCGGGTCTGGTCAGGCTGATGGGGAGGAGGGTGGGGTGGGC